GAGGCAGGAGAATTGCCTGAACCCGGGAGGCGGAGGTTGCGGTGAGCCGAGATCGCGCCATTGCACTCCAGCCTGGGTAACATGAGTGAAACTCCATCTAAAAAAAAAAAAAAAAAATTTAAAATTGCTAGTAGCCACATTTCAAAAAGTAAAATCAGGTAAAACTAATTTTAATAATATACTCTCCCCACTATATACAAATCATATCAACATATAAGTATGAACATTTTTTTTATTGCCTCCAAAATCCAAGGTATATTTCACACTCATTGTGTATCTTACCTCATACAACCAGGAGCTACGTAATTGGACTAACCAGCCCCTGCCTAACGCTCATTCCCTCCAGGCTCTCGGCCCTGCAGTCATGTTGAACTCTCTACAGGGCCCTACTGAAAGCTCTTCACCTCCTCTGCCCTCTGGATCTAGTTAAGCCTATTCATCCTTCACATGTCAGCTCAAATGTCAGCCTTGACAGAGGCCTCCCGTGACCCCTAACATGGCTCAAATGTCAACCTTGACGGAGGTCTCCTGTGACCCCTAACGTGCTTTCAAAGAATTGTATATTTCACAGTCACCATGCCCCCACAACTGTGATTTCCCATTTATTAACATCTGTCTCTTCTGCTGGCCTGCAAACTCCAGGGGGACAGAGACATCTTTGGGGTTTTTGATCATGAGTTCCCCAGGGCTTAGCCCAGTGCCTGGTGCAAAGCAGGCTTTCAACATGTTCTGGGGATATTGTAAGAAAGAAAGAAGTACCCAAAAGGCCTGGCATATGCAAAGCACTCTAAATATTCACTCCTTTCCCTTCCCTCTGGGTGAGAACATTTCTCCTTATAAAGGCACCCTCCTAACTGTGTCTCTGCTAGAGAACTGAAGACATAAAGCACTCTGTGCCAAAAATATTTAAGTAAAAACTTGAGCTAAGCACAGAGATTATAAATATTTCTTCCCCAGATTACGCACCATTTAAAAATACTGCCTCAGCTCCTTTTCATGATTTCAGTGGTGATTAAAGAAAATTACTCTTCAAGACTGAAAGTAATTGCTGCCCTTTTCCTGACTTGCCTTTTCCCTTGAGAAGGGGAGGATAAGCTGGAGGGCAGGAAGTGGAAGTGGGGCACCCGTGTCCTTTGGCAGACAGCCAACTGGAGAGGTCCTGCTGCTTCTCAGTTCTCTCCTAATTCTTTCCCAGGTGAAGATAAACAAGAAGGCACAAATCCACACTTGCCAATGGACCCGATTGATAACAACAAACCCAGTGACACCTGTCTAGGTGAAGAGTCGGCCCCTATGTGACCATGTTGCAAGGCCAAACCGACCATCTGGTTTTTCTTTGGACTTTTAGTTCGTTCTGCATCTTCTCAGGACAGTTAAGTTGGAATACAGTGCCGCTGTCCTGAGATGGTAGAATTATCCTATTTCTGGAGGAGTGGGGGCGGTGGGGAGGAATCTCAAGAGCGATTTGCTCCTCTGCACAACAGCTTCTTTAAGGATACCAGGGCCCCTGGGCTACACATTTCCCTGAAGCTTTCCAGATAAGCAACAAAGTATGAGCCACTGCTATGTACTGCCTAAGGGTGCTGTGTTTAAATATCCATTGCATACTTTAAATCCTTGGCTGGCTTAAAGCTGCAAACTTTCTGTTTTCAGTGGATAGAATGGGGGCATGTCTCCTAGAGCTTGCCCAGTGCTCCAAGAAAAGCAGCCTCAGCTAATGCAAAGTGTGTATGTGCCATGAAAGCTCCATGTCTACTTAACAGTTTTTAGGATTATTTGTGCTATCATAATATATATGAAAATCTCTAACGCGTATTTTGTTTCCTTTACAAACCGTATTTTGAATTTATGGGTGATTTAGAGCTGGTGCTTAAAGTCAGAATTCAGAGCCCCAAAGAAAATGACTTCATTGAAATTGAACTGAAGAGACAAGAACTGAGTTACCAAAACTTACTAAAAGTGAGTTGCTGTGAACTGGGGATTAATCCAGAGCAAGTGGAGAAGATCAGAAAGCTACCAAACACCCTGCTCAGAAAGGTGAGGTTTGTGAGTTTCTAAATGCAGAGCCACAGTGGGTGACATCATGTTTGCTGGAGCCAACCGTGGACCTTTTGCATTTCATGACACCAGAAATCCTGGCTACGGAATGGCCAAACATAGTAGGTAGGTCATAGATTTGCACACCTAATCCATAAACCTTTTAAAAACCTGTAAATGGGCCAGGTGTGTTGGCTCACGCCTGTAATCCCAACACTTTGGGAGGCTGAGGTGGGTAGATCACAAGGTCGAGAGATCGAGACCATCCTGGCCAGCATGGTGAAAACCTGTCTCTACCAAAAATACAAAAATTAGCTCGGCATGGCAGCGCGTGCCTGTAATCCCAGCTACTCAGGAGGCTGAGGCAGGAGAATCGCTTGAACCTGGGGAGATGGGAGGCGGAGGTTGCAGTGAGCCAAGATGGCACCACTGCACTCCAGCCTGGTGACAGAACTAGACTCCATCTCCCTCCTCCCCGCCCCAAAAAAAACTCAACGACAAGTGACTCCCCAATTTAGGACTCTAGTTCAGTACTTTTGGCTCCACCAATCTCTGCAAAACTGACTGGTTAATAAAAAATGGCGTGGTCCTCAGGAAAGAAAACACAAACCCACCCTTATTTGCTTAGCAAAGGATGGGTTTGCTAAGTACTTGAAATCTCAGGAAACAAAGATCGTTTTGCATTTTTATATATTTCCCAGATTCAAAATACAGGTATTTTTAATTTTGGAAAGGAAATCTTATTTGGAAATTTTTTTTTTTTTTTTTTTTTTTGAGATGGAGTTTCGCTCTTGTTACCCAGGCTGGAGTGCAATGGCGCGATCTCGGCTCACCGCAACCTCCGCCTCCTGGGTTCAGGCAATTCTCCTGCCTCAGCCTCCTGAGTAGCTGGGATTACAGGCACGCGCCACCATGCCCAGCTGATTTTTTTTTGTATTTTTAGTAGAGACGGGGTTTCACCATGTTGACCAGGATGGTCTCGATCTCTTGACCTCGTGATCCACCTGCCTCGGCCTCCCAAAGTGCTGGGATTACAGGCTTGAGCCACCGCGCCCGGCCTTGGAAAATATTTTTTAAGCTTTCAAAATTCTTTTGGCAACTTTTAATTTTTTTTTTTTTTTTTTTTTTTGAGATGGAGTTTCGCTCTTGTTACCCAGGCTGGAGTGCAATGGCGCGATCTCGGCTCACCGCAACCTCCGCCTCCTGGGTTCAGGCAATTCTCCTGCCTCAGCCTCCTGAGTAGCTGGGACTACAGACACGCGCCACCATGCCCAGCTAATTTTTTGTAGTTTTAGTAGAGACGGGGTTTCACCATGTTGACCAGGATGGTCTCGATCTCTTGACCTCGTGATCCACCCGCCTCGGCCTCCCAAAGTGCTGGGATTACAGGCTTGAGCCACCGCGCCCGGCTCAACTTTTAATTTTTTTTGAGACAGGGTCTCACTGTCATCCACACTGGAATGTAATGGCATGATCACAGCCCACTGGAGCCTCGAAATCCTCAGCTCAAGCCACCCTCCCATCTTAGCCTCTAGAGTAGCTGGGACTACAGGTGCACACCATCACAGTCTGCTAATTTTTAAATTTTTTTAGAAATGGGTCTTGCTATATTGCCCAGGCTGTTGTTCTCAAGCCCCTGACCTCAGCTTCCTAAGTGCTGGGATAACAGGTGTGCCTTTGGCAATTTCTTTTTTTTTTTTTTTTTTTTTTAGTTTGCTCGGAGGGCAAAATCAATTCTTTGTTTTGGCTGATAGTGTATATTCTTTGTAAACTAACACGGCAAGGGATGATCCCACTTTCCAGATGCCTTAAAAACAAACACCTGCTGGGTGTGGTGTCTCATGCCTGTAATCCCAGCACTTTGGGAGGCCAAGGTGGGCAGATTACTTGAGCTCAGGAATTTGAGACCAGCCTGGGCACATGGTGAAACCCTCTCTACAAAAAGATACAAAAATTAGCTGGGTGTGGTGACTTGGGAGGCTGTGGTGGAAGTGGAAGGATTGCTTGAGCCCAGAAAGTTGAAGCTGCAGCGAGCTGTGATTGCATCACTGCATTCCAAGATGGGTAACATAGCGAGAGCCTGTCTCAAAAATAAATAAATAAATAACCGAAATATCTTATGGGGTCCAGACATAGTGGCTCATGCCTGTAATGCCAGCACTTTGGGAGGTCAAGGTGGGCAGATCACCTAAGGTCAGGAGTTCAAGACCAGCCTGACCAACATGGTGAAATCCCATTTCTACTAAAAATACAAAAATTAGCGAGGCATGATGGCAGGTGTCTGTAATCCCAGCTATTCGGGAGGCTGAGGCAGGAGAATCGCTTGAACCTGGGAGGTGGAGGTTGCAGTGAGCCGGTATCATGCCATTGCACTCCAGCCTCCTTGGTGACAGGACTAAGACTCTGTCTAAAAAAAAACCAAAAACCAAAACTTAAGGGTTCAGAACCCAAAATGCTGAGCAATACTAAACCTTTTAAATACATTCATATGTATTAAGCATGATATAATTTCTTTTCCATATTAAGGACCAAGACATTCGAAGACTGCGGGACTTTCAAGAAGTAGAACTCATTTTAATGAAAAATGGAAGCTCTGAATTGACAGAGTATATACCATCTCTGACAGAAAGACCCTGCTACAATAGCAAAGCTGCAAAAATGACTTATTAAATAATCCCAGGAATGGCCGGGAATGGTGGCTCACACCTGTAATCCCAGCACTTTAGGAAGCCAAGGCAGGCGAAGCCCCTGGGGTCAAGAGTTCTAGACCAGCCTGGCTAACATAGTGAAACCCGTCTCTACTAAAAAAATAGAAATATTAACTGGGTTTGGTGGCACACACCTGTAGTCCCAGTTACTTGGGAAGCTGAGGCAGGGTAATCACTTGAACCCGGGAGGCGGTGGTTGCAGTGAGCTGAGATTGTGCCATTGCGCTCCAGCCTGGGCAACAGAGAAAGACTCTGTCTCTTGAAATAAATAATCCCAGGAATAAAAAAAACAAATTGTTTTGTAAATAATGAAGTCTGGATGCATGTTAACAGTTTGGCTAACTTCATGTCTGAACTGTGAGAAATGTTTCCTCACTTCCAAACTCTCTGGGCTGAGAGGTCGGTGTTTTGACAAGCAGCTATAAAACAAAATTGCAAGGTACAATTTTGGTACCACGGACAGTTTACTTTGTCGAGTTGTGCCCTAATCCTGATGAGTCTATGTGTCCCTTACGAGATTGTCAGGCCAGGTGTGGTGGTTCATGCCTGTAATCCCAGCACTTCAGGAGGCTGAGGCAGGAGAATCGCTTGAACCCAGGAGGCAGAGGTTGCAGTGAGCAGAGATCGTGCCACTGCACTCCAGCCTGGATGACAGAGCAAGACTCCGTCTCAGAGAAGGAAAAGGAAAAAAAAAACAAAAAAACAAAAGCTGAGTGTCGTGGCTCATGCCTGTAATCCCAGTACTTTGAGAGGCTGACGCGGGTGGATCACGAGGTCAGGAGTTCAAGACCATACTGGCCAACATGATGAAACCCCATCTCTATTAAAAATATAAAAATTAGCCAGGTGGAGAGAGCTGGAGCTGCACTTATTTTGTTCTTGGTGTAAAGCTATCAGTTACTCCATGGCATGTAGGAGCACTCAGGATGTGTTGGATGAACTCACAGCCAAGCCTTAGCTCATACTGAGGGGATCCAAGTCTCACCTGGCAGCATAGCTGAGAAGTAAGAAGACTACTATAAAATGACATAGGGTCTTAGTTACATGAATCCTATGAATTTGCAAGTGCAATTCAAATTTCACTTTCCTCTTTTTAAAGAATAAACATTTTTGTTAACACTTCATGGTACCCCTACTAAGATCAGAACAAGGCCAAAGCAGCCGCCTCTCTGAGGTGATAATCTAACTTGAGCCAAGGGAAGGAGTACAGCACGGTCCACCAACTTTCCTTCCCAGAATGGCATGAATCTGAGAAAAGCTTCTTTGGAAGCTGCTTAAATAGGAAGACAAAAGCATCAGCTCCCTGGCTGGCAGCCAAGTAAAAATTATGTTAAGATGAAAATATCACACAGAAAACATACATTTAGGTCTTGTTTTCTAGCTTTTTAAGAACTACAATTAAGACCTTAAATTTGAAGGCTGGGCACAGTGGCTCACTTTGGGAGGCCAAAACATGCCCGATTATTTGAGTTCAGGAGTTCGAGACCAGCCTGGCCAACATGGTGAAACCCCATCTCTACTAAAAATACAAAAAAATGAGCCAGGTGTGGTAGCACACACCTGTAATACCAGCTACTGGGGAGGCCGAGGCATGAGAATTGCTTGAACCCAGGAGGAGGAGATTGCAGTGAAGTGAGATCATGCCACTGCACTCCAGCCTGGGTGACAGTGACAGTGTCTCAAAAAACAAAAAAAACTTAAAATTGGGCCCTCAAGAAACAGCATCTTTAGATTTGACATTCATTGAAGGATTTTATGAAATATACTAATATAGTTTACATATCAATTAGTAACTACATACACGAAGACATTTTCCCATTATTTTTATTTAAGAAATATCATACATACAAAAGCACATAAACATACAGCTTAAAAAAGAAAATGCCCACAGGGCTTCAGAAATAGAGCCTCACCAGTTCCTCTGAAGACCCCTCTCTGCCCTCATCATCACCTCTCCCTTCATCAAAACAGCTATCATTTCCTTTTATCATGTATTTTGACAGCCTGTTTTTGGACTTTCATCGAAATGGAACCACAGTGGATGTACTCTTCCGTGACTTGCTTTTTCTGACCCCTTGATTGTTTAGTTTTGTCCATGTTCACATGCAGGGCTGCAGTCAGTTTCACTTCTGTGGAATTCCACTGTTGGAATATACCACAGGATTTATCCAACACACTGCTGGTGGACAGCTGGGGTCTTCCCAGGTTTTTTCTTCTTGTCTTCCTATGACACGCAATGCTATTGGGACATTCTTACATCCATCCCCTGGTACTCATGTATAAGAGTTTCTCTAGGGTATGTATCCGGGAGTAAATGGCTACGAGAGAGGTTATGGCACATGCACTTAGGCCAAACTGTTTCCCATTTCCCAAAGCTGTTGTTTCTAAACATTCTTATATCTGTTAACAAATGATCTATCTGGAATGGCTGAGGGGAAGAAGAAATAGATCAGCTATGAAACTCTTGAATTTTTAAAATAGTAAATTCAAAATTCTGATACAACAATGAAAAATACAATTTACTTCTCTGCTTTGGCTTACTTGAAATGTTCTTTTAAAAACTACAGGTTCAACTGAAAAGTGCTGTCTCCTTTATCTCAAAATAAATGTTTCTAAATATTACCAGGTGAAAACAGTAAGACTCAGAACATATGGATATACCATCATATATTTTATAGGATCTATACATATATGTTTATATTTCCTCCCACCTTCCCACAAAAAAAAAATATATATATATATATGTATCTTGAAAACTTGGAAGAACTGTTAAACAGAAGTAGCTCCTGGAGATTAAGAGAGGGTAGGAGCAGGAGACATAGATCACTAAACACTTTTTTAAAAACCATATGCAACATTACAATTGTAATACAAAATTTCAGAAGTAGATCTGGGGTTCTTTCACAACTAAAAAATCCCTCAAGAGATCAAACTTGAAAACCCACCCTGAAGTCCTATCACACAGAATCATATACACAGTAACTCCAAGTGTTTTTTGTTTCATGCACATAACAGATGTTTAAGAACACATTCACATAGCCCATCTGCAACGCATTTTTAAAAACAGAATGGACGAGGGCTCAGAGAATTTCCACCATAAAAATTTTCAGTTCTTACAACTCTGAAAACTTTAATCAGAAGGTGGCTGAGCTCAACCAATATGCGATCCAAGTGTTCCCAGACCTCAGAAATAACGTTGGTTATCCTCTGTGACGCTAACTATATTTAAGAAACCAGAGTACCTAAGGAGAGGGGATAAAAATAGCTGAGCAATATGACTAGGTTATTACCAGCTCAAGATCAAGAAAACAAGGACGGTTCATCCCAAATTGAAAAATGGACTGTTTGAAGGGGGTGGAAAAAAAAACCAAAACGTTTTAACAAAAAGGGGCATGGTATATATATACACACACACACACACACACAATCTCTACATTCCAGAGGAGAGGATGTCTTGAGCAGCAGACTGCTCCTGAGAGGCTCAATGGAAATTAAACTATTGGACCAGTGCTATGTAGTTTGATGGCTGACAAAAGTATACCCAACTTGTTTCATAAACTGTTATTTAAGAAGTCTTTGTCTTTTAAAGATACATGCTGAATTATTTACAGATTAAATGGTATATCTGAGACTTACTTGAAAATAATAGAGGGCAGAGGATACAAATACAATCACTCATGAAGTAAGAGTGGCCATGGGTCTTGTTGGTGATGAATTAACAGAGGGTAATTATACTGCTCCACTTTTGTGTGTCTTTAAATTTCCAAAATAAAGTTGCTCTTTTTTTTTTTTAAAGACCAACTGATTACAGATTTCAAACTTACCAATCTGATTAATTAAAACTGGTTTGCTCCCCTTAAAGACTTTCCAAATAGAAAATATACACTCACCAACTAGTAACTTTTTGGTGTGCATGGCAGAAATGTTTATTTCTTCTAGTGAATTGGATTCAATATTGTTGTATTCTTATGAGATGGTTGACAATAATCAGTTCCTCTTCATCCATATCAATTTTGGGTATAAAACTCAACTTCTAGGTCTCTCTTCATGACTAAAGACAGGCCTTAGTCATGGATGCCCTGAGGAGGCAGGTCCTCCTTCCCCCGAAGTTACCCAAATCCCAGGTAACTTCAATAGTTATAATAGAGTTAAGTGTCCACAGAGGAAGCCTTTTCATATGAGCTCATTTACTGTACTTCATTTAAGTTAGATGCTGATTCTAGATGAGGCAGAGCAGAACAAATCTGTCATTTTAATAACTTCCTAAGTTTTTTTTAATACTTAAAAAATCTATTAACAGAGCATGGTTTAAAAATGATCACTCCTTTGCTGCTACAACCACAATCTTGTCAAACTATACAAAGCAGGGCCTGGGAGGTAGCTTTGTGTTTGTTAGATTTCATTTCCCATTTTATCTTAATCCTCATGTGAATCATCTCTTAAAAATTCTGAAAACCCACTCATCTATTGCTGCATCTCCAGCATCAGCTAGGGAGCTAGCAGGACTCTGTCTCCACAGCATTTTTCCACAGAGAGCCTCTAAAGTGGTGGCTTCATTATTTTTCAAAGTTTAGTGGAAGAGATCTTTGTAAATTCTTTTAATAATTCATTATGCCTTTTAGAATGAACACAGTGGCTTAACAGTTAGGCACTGGACTATGAGGCAGAGACCTAGCAACTCCATAAACATGAAGCCACAGGACCCTCCCTGGGTAAGTCATTTAACACACTCAGTTTCTTTACCTATAATCTGATAGCAGTAGAAAAGTTATAAACCACAAGGAATTGCTACGATATATATATGTGTGTGTATATACACAGCTGGAGAGAATACTTTTATACAGTTGAAGAAGCTGCCTATAGACAGTGACATGCTGCCAGTTTTCCTAGATGTAATACAAAAATAATCACTTGCTTGGGGTGGGGGGAACCCTTGTTATATATACTACACACCCTATACACAAGCACGTTTATAAACTGACAAGACCGGGCTAGAAGAAATCTTGATACAGGACTTAACAAAAACTAGCTCTTAAATGCTTTTCTACATCATTATTTCATAACTAGCTAGCTAAAGACTGCTTGTCAGAAAGATACTTGGAATTTTCTACTACTAAAGGAATCTCTGAGGGATGTAAAAATATATTCTAGTTCACTGTACATCTTTGCTATTAAAAGCAAAATTCAAATTTATCCATAACCACCTAAAATTGAAGCACCATTAGTTAAAACGTTAAACTAGAAATTCTATAAAAATTAGTCTTAAA